AGAGTGAGAGGAACAAGACACCTGCTGCTAGTTACTGCATTCTAGACATGATACAAAGTTATACTCATGGAATCTTCACAGTATGATCATCTAATAAGAGCCACATAATGGTTAAATAAGTTTCTATGCCAATTTGGATGGGAAGAATTTCATGGGGTACCAGCCTCATGATGAACTACAGGCAACCGATGGATGCTGAGGGATGGAGGGAGGGAGGGAGGGAGGGAGGGAAGGAGGGACCAGTTCCAGGGACCAGTTCCCTGAGAAGTTATCTATTACGAAGTGGTCAGCCTTAAATATATGTAAACAAGACCACCACTAAATGGCTCAATGCATATATGTATTGTGTGTGTGTGTGTGTGTGTGTGTGTGTGTGTGTGTGTGTAAATGTAGGTATATATAACAATAATAATGAAAGAAGAAGATAAGAAGTTATGAGGGAGTGGTGGACATGGGATGAATTGTAGAGGAACTGGGAAGGATGGAAATAATTCAAATACAACACTCATGCATGAAATTCTCAAAACAAGGGAGATATGGACAAAAATGGGGTTATTTTAGTGGGAGGAGGGAGGGAGGGTTATACAAGGAATCTTGGGGATAAAGGGAAAGAAGGAGCTCAAGAGAGGAGGGGCCATAGGAGAAGGGTATGATTAAGAGAGAAATGGGAAAAAATGGGGCACTTTAAATGGGGAAACCATGGTGGAAGGTTAGACAATGAGAGAGATAAAATAATGCCTAGCTAGTTAAAAAAAAAAAAAAAAAAAAAAACAGAGGGAACCATATTACTCCAACAACCTACTGACAAATTATACATATAACTAGCTCAAGGAACATAATATATGTCTAGTCAAGGTTTATCTGAGAACATTTGATTTTTTATCTAAGCTTTATCTATATAGCACATGGTAATGAAAAGTACCAGACTGGTGAAACTAACCTTCTTGGATGTTTAACAGCCGTATTTGAGGCCTCTACTAATCTGGTCAGAGGGACTTAAAGGACAGTTTTTGCTTCTTGCCCTCCAAGGTCGACTAAGTTCCAGGGGACTATGGAGAATCTCTCAAAATGTCCTGTAACTGTGGTGAGTCAATTATCCTCTTGATTAAGAGGGCTATGGAGACCCCAGAAGATGGACTTGAACCAGTGTCAAGTCTACAAAGAGGAGAGTCAACACAGAGGAAACATTTCCTCCATGCTTCTAAGTGAAGCCAGCCACAGTTGAGCAGAAACTTTGACTTATCTTCACATAGATGGAACTGATAAAAGAAAGGAGCCAGGGGATCCTCCTAAGCCCATGTGACCCCTTAGGAACAGATCTTCAGATGATGTTAAGAGTAAAAATAAATTGCTAATCTGGGCCAACTGTATGGTCTTAAGCACCCAAAAGGAACGCATAACCAATGATTAAAGTGATCAGAATAATTCTTTAAGAGTCCACGTGTATAGCTAAGGGCTATGTAACAAGAAACAATGCCAGACAGGAGACACCTTCTTTGAGTTGTTGGCCAGGGTGGCCCAAGAGACTCTCAGACAGTAACCCAGCATAGAAGTGGGAAAATGAACAGTACACCCCAATCTTATCTAAAGAAATGTTGGCAACTGATTGCTGCTAGAAGAGGAAGAGCTGATCTTCCTAAAACAAGGAACTCTAGATATGCTGAGTAGACTCAGTGGATGGACTAGTACTGGGGAACAGTTGGGGGCACTAATAACACACTGAACAGTAACAGGGATGACAGTATATGGGCTCCAGTGTGTGGGGGAGGCTATGGGAGGATATGGGAGTATGCCATTTGGGATGCTGCTATAAAGATGAATAAGACTGTTTGGGATGTTCTTTATGAAATACACACACACACACACACAAAATCAATAAATTTTAAAAAATGAGTAAAATATAATTCTCAAAAAAAATTTAATTCTTCACTTGGAAGGTGAGGCTAGCAGCTGGAGTAATGGAGCACTCTGGGACATCTTGAGCCCAGGAGTTTGAAACTACTCTGGGCAACGCGATAGACTCTGTCCAAAAAAAAACAAGAGACAAAGAGAAGGAAGGAAATGAAAAGAAAAGAAAAGAAGGAAGGAAAGATAAAGAAAGAAAAAAAATCCCTGAGTCTCAGCCCTCAGGAGAATTTCTCTGGATGCACACAGTCCATTGGCTCCACTGCCCAGGGCCCCTCACTTTACATACCTTCCCTTTGTGTTGCTCACTTCCAACACACAAGATATATCAGCCCTTGAAGTTACAGGGAAGTGGGTAAGGAATCCCAACACAACCTAAGAAACTTTTGGCAACTGTTGGCTGCTGGGAGGAGGAAAGACAGTGTTTTACAGGAATGGACCCCACTGAAGGACCTTTGGGAGAATAAATCAGACTCTATAGGTTATATATATATTTCATTAAATTGGGGGCAGTGGGAGGAGGTGTGGAGAGGGGAGCGAATCTAAATACCATCAAAGAGTATTGTATGAAAATTACAAAAATTCAATAAGAAAATAAAAATTAAAAAGAATTTTCATACAAGATAATAAAAAAATTATCTCTACCCAAATCCTCACTGTTTAATTTAAAAATCTCTATGTTTGAGGTTGGGGATTTAGCTTGGTGGTAGAGCACTTGCCTAGCAAGCACAAGGCCCTGGGTTTGGTCCTTAGCTCCAAAAAAATAAAAATAAAAAAGGACAAAATAACAAAAATCTCTATATTCATAATGTCTATATTGTTTCAGTGTTAGAAAAAATCTGTATTAATAGTTTGCATTATCATTTCTTTAACAGCAGCCTCAAAAGCCTCATGACCTAGTGGCATGCCACCCTAGGGCCAAGGGGTACAGCATGTGTTAGGCTAGCAGCTGGAGTAATGGAGCACTCTGGGACATTTAAACTCTCTTTACTGTCAGTGGCTTTGTTTAATATCATGCATCTTGATCCAGAAGTTAGGCTGATTCATGACAAGACTTTCTTAATGAAGGTCTGCTTTAGTTAACATCTCATAGGCTAGTAATTGGTGAGGGAGGCATGGCACTGCCAAAAAACAATGACCTTCCTATTAGGGCATTGGAAGCCCTCAGAGTAAAATTCATTGTTAAATTGATAACTCAGCTTATAAGCCTACCTGGTCCTTGCCTGATGGCTAGTGCTTGGTGAGGTGTTCATGGATATGCCCCTGTGATTACATGGGCTCCAAAGAACTAATGCTTAAGTTTATATTGGTTAAGAAAACATGAAGTTCAATCAGAATCTATATTGCCTTTAACTTTTATGATGCACACAGATATTTCTTTTGTGCTGTTTTTATACAAATAATTGCATTCTTTTGCTTGCAATAAGTATAGCATTTTATCTTACCATCTCCTTTTTCCCTAGTCAATTGGCTATAAATCTGTGTGTGTGTGTGTGTGTGTGTGTGTGTGTGTGTCGGTGTGTCGGTGTGTTTAATCTCTCTCTCTCTCTGTCTCTGTCTGTCTCTGTCTCTCTCTCTGTCTCTCTCTCTCTCTCTCTCTCACACACACACACACACACACACACACTTAACTTCAAGCAATTGATGTTGTCTTAGATGAACCCAAATATTATTTACAGTTTCTAGTATTCTAGAGTCTGCTGGAATCTCTTTTGCACCCCTCCTCCCAGGATTACTACATTTTCTGATTGCTGCAACAAAATACCCAGTGCTGGGTCTTTATAATTAAATGAAGTGTATTTGGCTCACAGTATAGAGCCTGAGTGCATAGTGTTAGCACTTGCTTGGCTTTAGGAAGTGCCTTTTAGCTTTATCACACATGTAGGGGAGCATCATGGTTACTGTCTTGGCTTGCAGAACAAGTGCCAAATAATTCATAGCATCAGAAAGATACTGAGAAAGTAGACTCACAATTCCAAACACCTATTTCTCTTTTCAGCCAATGGTACTTAAAAGCGATGCAGCATCATTTTTGATAGATATTGACATTAGCATAAAGATGAAGAAAAATAAACACCCCCCTAAAGCATTTAGGGAGAAACAATTCTCTATTCTATACAGATTTACAGATCTGACTTATAGGTATAGCATCTATTTCATGAACCATCTGGGTAGGTATTGTATTTATTTTTCATTTCATGCAAGAGAGAAACTATAGCAAACCAATTAAAATAAAACCAAGTTCATACAGATGTTAAGAGGTAAAATTAGTGCATGAACCCAGGAAGGGTTTATTTTTCCTGCTTCTGACAAGGAGTAACTCCCACACACCCTTCTAAACACTTGTACTTATTTCTGTAGATGTCACTGGGCAATACAGTAGAAATAAAGAAAATAGTCCCTGGCATCAATTGACTGATTTGAATCCTGCCTCTAGTACTAGCCATCTATATAAACTTGTGTAAGTTCTTTAATATGTCTAATGCTCGATTTCCTTGTTTTAATATAGTAAAGGTATTCGCCTCACACTACTGTGAGGGTTAAGTAAATGAACAGTGCCTGGTACATTGTTTGAACCATATACATTATCATTGTTTTTAATTGGAAGACCATTGGCATTTATGTTAGGATGCTAATTTGATATGACGTTAATAGATGAACTGGAGATGTGCTTTGAGTTTATTTTTCCAGGATATAAGAAAGACTCGTATTCCACATAATTCAGGAAGAGAAGTCTTGCTGTTCAGTCACTTTGGTGTCTTCATCACTGAGATTACAAAGGTTCCTTCACGCCTTGGCCAATTCCTATCTTTGCTTTTCATGTTCCCCTTAGAGATGTCTCCTTTGGTGCCTTTGATTGGTTCTGAATGCTGAGCAGTGACAAGCACCAACACAGCTGGAAAGAGCTATAAGATTTTGCTGCTGTATCCTCCAGCAGGGAATTATTGCCATGGATACCAGCATCAGAGGGGGATTGGGGAGCTCTCTTCACTTGCCTCCTCAGTGTCTGACATCTGTTTCTGGCAAGGCCAATAATGAATATGCTGCTAGCTTCATATAAAATAGGAAACTGATCTGTTTTTTTTCCCCCACAGATGGCCTCTGCCCAAGATGCCAGGTTCGGCCAGAAAGACTCCTCTGACCAGAACTTTGACTACATGTTCAAATTGCTAATCATCGGCAATAGCAGCGTGGGAAAAACATCTTTTCTGTTCCGTTATGCAGATGACTCTTTTACATCTGCATTTGTCAGCACAGTTGGGATCGATTTCAAAGTAAAAACTGTATTCAAAAATGAAAAGAGAATCAAGCTTCAGATTTGGGTAAGTGACTTTGAACTGACATCATCTTCCGATCCAGTGTGTTGGACATATAAGTATGCAAGGGAAAAACTTTCTGCCTTGTTATATCCCCATGGGGTCCATAAGCTTTGATTTCCAACCTCTTTGCTGCAGAACATTCTGTTTCAAAGAGAATGAGGTGATGTCTTTTGAAAGTATGGAGACTGAATCACACCTTGTCATGTGATATTGTTCCACAGTCTTCAGAAGAGAAGAAATCCAAACTTCTGTGTGTTGGTCATGGGAGGAACACTTGGTTGAAAGTCTGTCTGCTTGTATGATCTGTGTGATCTTGAGAAACTCTGTGACTCATTCTCTGGTCTTTTTTATTACCTGTACATAAACAGGTAATATAAATCTAGCCTGTTAGGTCACAGGGGTCAGCCTGTCCTGAGCATTTTAAAGAGATGGAAATGGAAAGTAGAGAAAGCCAGAACAAGTTCCTTCATGAAACTCCAGACCTC